AGCCTTAGTACTTGCAGCACAGCTGATCAAGGTGTTAAAGCAGCGGTTACTCTGCAGCCCCAGATTCCCCGCCTAGAAGTCATCTGTGAATGGAGCGACTGGAACCACGTGCCTTTGGCTGTGGAAAATACCTGTCACTCATGTGGATGCAGCATTCGGGAGTGTCAGATTCTTGTCTTCAGTGACCACTCGGGTGCATGCCACTTTAAACCCAGGGCGGATTTACGGGCCTGGGGACTGACCACCTGCGGGGGGCGGCGGGGAGATGTCGTGCCCCTGATAGAGAACCCCACCCCACCCCGTCTCCGACCACCCCGCGTGCGTAATGGGCTCCGGAGCCATCTCTGCAGCCTCCGTCCAGCGCCGTCACAGCAAATCCCGGGCCTAGAGGGAACGCGCGTGAATCAGCCCCAGGGCCAGCAAGCCACTAAGTGCAGACTGTGAGGAACTGAGGCCCTCGGGGAGTTTCTGAGGACAGAGCTGGGGGTCAGAGAGGCTTGGGAGACCTCGCCAGGTCCATATTCAAACCACAGTATAAAAGCCCGACACACAGGAGACGAGACAGCTGGGAATCAGGACCGGCCTGCTGTCTGATGTTGAGAGGTTAGGGTTATTTCTGGTGTGATGGCATTGGGGTTGTGTTTATTTTAAGAGCTCTTCTTTTATTTGTAACACGGACGTGCTCGTGGATGAGGTGGCATGTTTCTGATTGGCTCTAGCTGTGACAGGGCAGTGGCTGGGGCCCTCGGGGACCCTTGTGGAAGGGATGACGGTGCCGGGCCTGTCGTGACGCTGCTCTGTCCACTTGTGTGTGTGCGGTGCTCCCGTCAACAAATGCAGAAGGTGGGAAGGAAGATAACATTCCTGACCTCCAGTCCCTGGCATTCCATGTTCCTCAAATTTGTAGTTGAAATTTCCTGCGTGTTTTGCTTTACTCTGGCTGTCGGTGTGCACTTGCACACACACAAGAAAGGGGTGTCCACGGTGCGTTTCCACGTGTTTCCAGGAAGGAGGGGCGGTCGACAGGGAGGCCTCCAAATCCACGTTTTTCACTGCGAATCAGCTCCCCTACTCAGTAGAGCAGCAGGGACACCTTGGCTGCTGGAGCAGAGCTGGCCCATAAACACATTTGTAACTGTCAGGTCATTCACTGGGGCAGGAGAACCTTTTGTTTTCAATTCCTCCAGGAGAGCTGTGTGAATATTAGCATCAGATTAAAAGCTCCATCTCAGAAACTTTGTGAAGCTTTTCCTGTGCCTCCTTGGCCCCCGTGCGTACCTGTAACCGTTCAGGGGGAGGAGAGAGACAGGAAGGAACGGCTCGCTTTCGGGTCAGCAAGTGGGAAGAAGACCTCGGCAAGCGCCGACTGCGGAGAAGTGTAACGCGTGTTCTTCCAACTAGAATGCGTTACGGAAAAGCGCATTTACCTTACTTTTTGCCATCATTTCAGTGATATCCCTACTAGCTGTTAACTTTTAAACTGGGGAACGATGATTACATAGCGATCCTCTAGCGTTTCACATAGTCAGAGCCCAGGCGTGTCCCCTGCTGGCTTCCGCTTGCAGGAAGTACGCAGCTCAGGAGCGGTCCCTGCGCTCGGCTGCCGGGTCCTGGCCACACACACGCGGTCCCGCAGCCCGGCCGTTCCTTCCAGCGCTGCTGTGAGAATCAGGGAAGATCACTGTGAAAATAGCTGCTGCCGTTTACTGTGCGCGTGCTGGGTTTCAGGGGTAGATGTCCAAGGTGAGACTGCGGCATGCTCCAGCTGGAGGGCCCAGCCACTCGACAGGCCGGACGGCGTGTCCCAGGAGGGGGCCTCGCGGGCGTCACACGAGCAGTAGCCTGCATCGCCGAGTCCGCTCACACGATCGCTGACACGCACAGCGTTATTCCTCTCAAACACCTCTCGCTTCCTCAAGTGGGTTTCACGTTGTGAGATAGAAGGTTCGTTCTGTGCACCTCTGTCATGAATTTTCTTCCAAAAGTTGTAGTTGTGGTATGATGAATACGAGATCGTTCGCGTTGTGTAAGTGTGATTCGCTTAAATTATTTTTCTTGAGTTTTCACTCCCACCCAGACCTTGGCACACGCCAGCCGCCCCGCACCTCGTCACCAGCACGGGGACCAGTCCCTCTCACGCGCGGCCAGGTATCCAGCACGAAACCAGAACCCAGAAGCACGACACGCGTCGTGATCTTGCGGGTCGGGCACATCCGTGCTCCGCTTTCCCTCAGCTCCCCTGCCAGCCCCTCGCCTGCGTCCTCGCCGTCCTCGTGGGCGTCTGCATGGGTGCCTTCCTGCAGCCCCTCTTCCTGGCGCGCCGTCAGGCTCCCCTCACCCTTTGTGTCTCAGGCACTTTATATGCTTATTTATTCTTCGCCAAATCCATGCGGGACTGGTGGTAATTTCTCTAGTTTGCAGACAAGCACTGAGGCTTGAGAGTTTAAAGTATCTCTGTGAGGTGCCACCAAAACCCAGCATGTAGTGATGCCTTATAAGGAGTTTTTTGCCAAACGAATGATTGAATTCCAAGTTCATTAGAGACATGTTGGGAATGTGAGAGTTGCTGGTGTGTCTGGAGAATGGTGGCCATGTTCCGAGGCCAGGTGGACTGTGGTCTCTTTATTTAGGGTCTTTCTTACCTGTACGAGGTGGTTTTGAAAACCTAGAGAAATAACAGTTCATTCTTGGTGGGAGCTGTACAGGCGTTTGTTGTCATATTCTTTAACTTTGCTGCACAGATTAAGTTATTAGTAATAAAAAGTCAGGTTAAAAGAAGTGTCATTAACCACAGTCCTGTTTATAAACTGTTTAGCATGTGTGCCTCCTTACCTTGCCCACCGTAAGTTACTGCCTCACATTCAAGGTATATCAGAGAAAAAAAGTCTAAATGAAATTCTTCAATTACGTCAATTAATCTGATACGTAAAATATTTTTAATTTAAATAACGTATTTGATCATTTCTCAGAGAAGCGTCCATTTGGGCGCGTGTAATAGAGGTAAACTTCATACTTATTCTAATTGAAATCAATGTAAAATTTCATTATCTTTTGACCAGAGGTAAATGATAGAACTGTTGTTTTCATATCAAATCTTTGAAATAAAGTATTTATAGAACTTCCTTATTTCATTTGGAGGCTGAATTGTTGCTAACTACATTATTTAATATACCCTAGTATTTAAGTTAGTTATTCTTTATTTAAGATGGCATAACCAGAAAAACCCCTTTAAACTGCACTTCTCATGTAATTTTGGTTCTGTTAATCAAAGAACCATAGGAGCCATTTATTAAAGGGGCTACATAGAATTTTGTAAAAGGCAGAATTTATAAAACTGACAATAGCTGCTGTTTGGAATTTATGAAACCCTGGATAATATGTTATATACATTCTTTTGAGAGTGTTTGCCAGAACAATCTCTAAATAGTAATTGTAAATTATAGATTTTCCCTTTACTTTAAAATAACCTCGGGGTGCTGGGGGGAGTCCTGTCAAATGAGCTATTTTGCTTTGAACACTAGTCCTAAGTAATGGGCACGGAGTCACAGGTAGATATGAAAACAGTTTGTATTATATTTTCAACATTGTGTGGGCCAAAGAAAACAAAACTTAGTTACTGTGGTGTCTCGTAGATACGTAAAAGGTCCGACTTTTACTGTGACCGCGTGGCTCTCTGTTCATATTCACACTCTTAACTTGCTTTGAAACAAGTGCAGAAAACCCGGGGACAGGGTTGTGAGGGGGACAGCTCGTAGCACGCGGTGCCGGGGTTTACAGGGAGCTCCCCCTGCACCACACCGTGTGGCTCTCCTTCCGTAAAACCGGAGCAGCCAAGGCTGTGTGCGTGTATGTTTTCATATTAAGTGCTAGATGCACAGTGTTTAGGGTCTCCTGTCAGGGTCACAAGATCAATAACACTGGGAACTTCTGTGCCACTTTTTTTTTTTTTTTTTTTTTTTTTATTTCCATTATTTAAGTGTCACTTTAATTAACGGGGAAAAAAGGTATAATAATTGTGGTATCCTTTTATTTACTTCTGTATTCAGTAAACTTTCTTATATAAAATTTTTCAAACTCACAGAAAAGTAGGACACCCATGTAACACCAACTAGATTCAACAACTGTTAACATTTTCACCAGCGGTACGCGGGCCTCTTACTGCTGTGGCCTCTCCCGTTGCGGAGCACAGGCTCCGGACGCGCAGGCTCAGCGGCCACGGCTCACGGGCCCAGCCGCTCCGCGGCACGTGGGATCCTCCCGGACCGGGGCACGGACCCGTGTCCCCTGCATCGGCAGGCGGACTCTCGACCACTGCGCCACCAGGGAAGCCTTTATGTGCCACTTTTAATGGAAGTTCGCCAAGTTTTTGAAATACACAGCCTCTGCTGCCCCTCTGTTCATTGCTGTTACTTCACTGCGTTTGGTGGTGTATCTTTTGATTGGAAGCTGAAACCTAAAACTGACCTGCCCGGGCTGGTGGGCAGTGCCAGGGCAGATGCAGGGCCCGCACTGGCGCTCACAGGCTAGAGACCAGCTGGAGAGAAAACGCCCCTCCTTCCTCACCTCCTCTCCATACGACACACGTGGATGCCAAGGCCTAAATGCGTTGTCTCTGTTCAATGAAAAATACTTAATTTTTCGAAATAGACTTATTTGAAACGGATCGATGCACTGGTCTCTCAGGCAGCGTTCTAGGGTGTAGTTACAAAGAGAGTCACTCAGAACTGGAAGACAGAGTCCAGACCTTCTGCACAGAACCAGAACCCTTGCCGTTACTAAAAGTTACTGAAAGGGGAGCCTGACGTTCCAGGAAGAAAGCTCTGGTCCTCACTAGTGAAATGAAAACATAGTGCAGGTGACGCTGGAGGACGCTTTGTGCGGCTGAGCAGCGTGTTCACAGGTGCAGAGCGCGTCCAGCCCTGGGCGTGGGGCGTGTGCGGTGCGGTCTTGATCTGCCTGATGGGCCCGAGTTGACGGTGTCCTTGCTGCTCCTGTCCTAGGAACCCTCACCCGGAACGAGATGGTATTTAAGCGGCTGCATCTGGGCACCGTGTCTTACGGGACGGACACAATGGATGAGATCCAGAACCAGCTCATGAATTCCTACTCACAGGTGAGCCGGTTCAGTCCTGCAGGGGATCTTCTGGCAAAAGTACCCGGTGCTGCTGAGTGACACGGAGCCTGTTACCTGCTTGACCTGCAGCGTGGCACCTTCTCTGATGATGCTAAGCCATTATTTTACTCATCATTCGCTTATAAATCAAGAAACAGTTTTTGGACTAATTTTAAATTAAAATTTCTACATTGTATAACCATAGGCTTAACGACCTTAAATCGTTTATTCTTATTAAATTTTCATAGTGGATTATTTGTATAAATTACTCAGTAATCATAGTATTTTTAAGAGTATTGAGTGGAATCCTGCATCAGGTATGTTTCTTAACAATCCCTCTGTTTTTCCTCATAATTAATAAGGCTTTCTCATATTTTTTAAAGGTACATATTTTTAACCTTTTCAGTAAACAAAAGTAGGAACCGTAATGTTTCTGCCCTTCAACTTCCACGATTATCAGTGTGCAGCTGATCCTGTTTCATCATAGCCATTGTCCTTCAGATTGATATTGTGAAGTGAAACTTGAATATAATATCACATTAGTTCATCTGTAAATATGTAGTCTGTGTCTCTCATAGATAAGGACAGGGTTTTTTTGTTGTTTGTTTTTTTTGTTTTTTAAGACAATACCTCAATCTTGTCTTTTTCACCGGAGCCTCTACGGGAAGAATTGTTTCTTTCACGTGAGGGCACAGCCTAGTGGTTACAGCATCCGTTCCCTGCCAGGGCGTCTGGGCTGGGATCCTCCCAACCTTCCAGGCTCCCGACGTTAGGTGTGTCAGGGCCGCTGGGTGCCCAGGTCAGGCAAAGACCATGGAGCGGTGGCGACATAAGCCACCTCCCAGTTTATTTTCGGCTGTGTGGTTTCCACGGCCCTTTCCCAAGTAGGGCTTGTGTTTGAGTCACTGATTCGGTGTCATCAAACCCAGCCATCCCAGGGCATCGATTCAGGACCACTTCCTGAGGCCTTTCTCTCCTGAGGAGCTGAGCGAGGTGTGTGGGGTTGGCACGCACAGAGCACTCAGGGGCTGTGATGTCTCCCTGCTGCCACCAGGCTCCCTGGGCCACACGGGCGCCCTCACCTGCCGAGGCCGGCAGGTTCTTGTTTGCAGGCCTTTGTTTCCCACTTGATTTCACGAAGACTGGACTGAATTACCCTTGCCCTCTGCAGTTCTTCCTTGTATGTTGTCAGCCTTATATTCAGTTTTGTGAAAACCGTCTCTTTTTTCTGTAATGTGCACCAGTCTGGCATGTACTTTACTTTTGAGATGCTGTCAAATGAAAACAATCTTATATGAGTATGTATTTATTATATGTGTGGTCATACGTGCCCAGAAGCACACATACGTGCATGAACACTTAAAACCAAGCATTTTATTAATTTGGATGTCATTCATTTTAATACAGAGTATTTTGTAACCTAGAATATTTATTAATAGAGTACTTTAAAGGGGAGGGAATACTACTCCCCTTCTCCTTGTAATCTGTGTCTGGATTAAATAGTACCAGGTAACATCTGTTTTAAAAAATATTAATTTATATTACCCATGAATATGATTTTAGTAATTCCGAATAAGTTATTTTACTAGAAAAAAATTAAAAGCAGAAAAGATGAGTCATATAAATACAGCAAATGGTATTCCATCTAAGAATTTTAAAAATCTTTTTACTAAAAGCTGTGTGTTGGTTAGCTGGGCAGACAGTCCTTTTACGTGAAACTGATTTTATTCCTTGCGTTTCATTTTTAAGATGAAAATAGTCTGCTAGGTCCACAGTAACGTAACACAGATCTTGTGTAACCCGATCATGTTTACCCACTGGAAGCATTTGGTGATGAGGACATAATCATGAGTGGAATTTGTGTGGAGTGAATCAGTAAACACGGCACATCCAGCAGGAAGAGGCCGCCGCATTGCTCGGCTGCGCTAGTGGCGGGGCAGGCAGGACGCAGGTGTGGGTCGGAGGCGTGGATGGAAGAGGCACCAGCTGAGCAGAGGAGCTGCCCCTCATTAGCCGGCACTCTGATTTGATGGGCTCTGCAAAGCCGCCCAGAAGCAGGGGCCTTGCTTTCTAAGGGTTGTCGGGAGCTCCTGTGAGGTTCAGGGGAGAAGTGTCTGATGGGCCTTGGGGTCGGGGTCCTCCCAGGACCCCCCCACTGGAGGAGGTGACCGCCGGCGGAGACATCTGTCCAGGGCCATCAGGCACATCCGGAGGAGTGGGTGGTGGCTTCAAGGGAACAGTTTTGAAATATGACGGGAGGGTCGCTTTTCCTCCCACCGCGGTGATTATTGTGTCTGATTATTATTATCTACAAACCAGACACTCTAACTTCAGAGACTGTTGCAAAGCTGGATGAGCTCATAGTATTAAGGGAACGTTCATAATCATGTTTTCCTGCTTTTAGCTGTATACCTTTTTTTTTAATAAATGGTTTTTTTGTTTTTATTTATTTATTTTTGGCTGCATTGGGTCTTTGTTGCTGCACGCGGGCTTTCTCTAGTTGCGGCGAGCAGGGGCTGCTCTTCGTTGCGGTGCGCAGGCTTCTCAATGTGGTGGCTTCTCTTATTGCAGAGCACGGGCTCTAGGCGCACAGGTTCAGTAATTGTGGCTTGCGGGCTCAGTAGTTGTGGCACGCGGACTTCAGTAGTTGTGGCTCACGGGCTCTAGAGCGCAGGCTCAGTAGTTGTGGCGCATGGGCTTAGTTGCTTCGCGGCATGTGGGGTCTTCCCAGACCAGGGCTCGAACCCGTGTCCCCTGCATTGGCAGGCAGGTTCTTAACCACTGTACCACCAGGGAAGCCCAGCTGTATACCATTTTATGCACAGCAGTTTTTAAAGAGAAACGGCAGCAGTTGTGAGTATCCTATTCCATTCTGTTTTTAACTTTGCTTTTAGAAAGGACTTAGCAAATTCATGCCATGGTTACAGTGAATCTACTCAAAGGAGATGGTGAGATTTTGAGTATTATAGCAAATATTTTGGTTACTCGACAAATGGGAACTGTCAAAGCACTTTGTAGTACAAGGATAAAAGGGTAACTTGTCACCCCAGTGGGGCGCATGGCAGAGGTAATCGTCTCGAGCTGGTCTACTTACTCCTGGCTAAGGCTAAGCAGCCCATCAAAGTCATGCGTGTTACTCATCCCAGCATCGGCTCTGCTGTCTCTAATTCTTCGGCGTCCTGTGTTTGACAGATGCAGTCTCAGGCCAGTGGGAACAATGCCAGTTCAACACCCCCAAGAAAAGCCCAGTCCTCGGCGCCCAAGGTCAGGAAAAGCGTGAGCAGCCGGGTCCACGAGGCCGTGAAGGCTGTCGCCCTGTGTCACAACGTGACGCCCGTGTACGAGGCCCGCGGCGCGGCCGGGGAGACTGAGTTCACCGAGGCCGACCAGGATTTCAGCGACGACAACCGCACCTACCAGGCCTCCAGCCCCGATGAGGTCAGTCGGGCCAAGCGGCCCATTGCCGATGGGTCCTCGGGGTGCAGACGGCGCCTCCCCAAGGGCTCATCGGGCTCTGGGCCTGAGGAGTTTCTTGTGGGGTGAGGAGGGGGCTTGACGGTGGTTTTCAGTGCGGGCTTTCGCCACAGGCCAGAAATCTGGCCAGCTCCCTCCTGGTGGGACCCCTGCCCTGACCCAGGCCTTGCGGGCATGTGCCCACACGTACCAGAACGGCCTCGAGTCAGTTTCAGGAAAGCCGTGAGCGGACTTGGGGAGCTCACTGACTCCGTAAGGTCTGCAGGCTGCACCCTCCCGTGTCCTCGTCTCTCCAAGTGAATCTTCAGATTTGCACATTAAATTTCCAGTTATTTTTGCCAGAATTTAGATACGATGTATGTGTTTCAGAACAGAATTAGGATGTAAATAATTTCAAAAATCTACAGAAGACAGAAATGGTAAAATCTTAAATGTGATAAATGAGTCATTTCTGACTTTACATCAGTCATTCTTTGATTTTTAGGTTGATAAAAATTATTACTAAATTAATCTGTCCACTTCCTGTACAATCTTAGTGTACTTTATATATAGTTTTCTCATCTACCCTTTGCACTCAGGGTTCTGATAATTCTGTAAAGTCATCAGACTTCTTCAAATATCTTGTAAAACGGTATCATATAAGTAAGTAACCTCTCAAAAAAGTGCCTTCAATCAAAGGTTTTAAGAGCTCTGACCTGATGTCTTCAAGAGAGGACCCTGCTGATCCCATTAACAAGTTTATTTCCAAAGAGAAGAGCCCTTCCTCCCTGACAGCACTCCCCCAACCCCTGGCTCTGCGTCCAGGAGGGGCCCCTCTGCTGCCCACGGGCAGGCTCCTCTGTGCTGTGCAGCCTTCCTGCTCGGCAACAGCCGGCGGTGTCCCTCCTCTGGTTTCCACGACAGTACTCTCATTCCCAAAGGTGCCCGCACGGCCTCGTCTGCAGACCCCTGGGGGCTACAGGTGGACCACCGGCATGGTCTTAACCCTGTCTACACATCCCGTGGACTACTAGCTTTGTTTTGTTTTGTTTTGTTTTTTTTGTGCTTGCCGTTCTCTGTACACATGCTCAGTTCTAGAAGTGCTGATTTTCCAGCAGGCCTGGTGGGACTGACGTTTCTCCATTCTGAAAATCCAGTAAGTTGCACCCACAACTGAGAACCACTGAGTCTTGTAAATCTTTCCTTTTGACGTGCTTTCAGGATACGAGGTGAGGCCCAGTGCTGTCAGCAGTGCCCATGACAGTCTCAGGGTGCAAAGCGCGGGGGGCCCCAGCTACGGCATTCTCACTTCCTAATGGTAAACCCTGAGTGCACCAGCAGGCTCAGGGCATTTACCAGCTCCTAACACAGCTTTATTGTTTGAGAGCAAATTTATTTTTGAAGCTTTAGTTACATAAGTATTTCCTTTTTTTTCTTAATTGAAGTATAGCTGATGCACAATGTCATGTAAGTTACAGGTGTGCAGGGTAGTTAGCGATTCACAAGTTTTAAAGGTTATACTCCTTTTATAGTTATTGTAAGAGATTGCCTGGGTTTCTTCCCTGGTGGCACAGTGGTTAAGAATCCGCCTGCCAATGCAGGAGACATGGGTTTGAGCCCTGCTCTGGGAAGATCCCACGTGCCGCAGAGCATCTAAGCCCGTGCGCCACAACTACTGAGCCAGTGCTCTAGAGCCTGTGAGCCACAACTACTGAGCCCACGTGCCACAACTACTGAAGCCCGCGTGCCTACAGCCCGTGCTCTGCAACAAGAGAAGCCACCACAATGAGAAGCCTGTGCACCGCAACGAAGAGTAGCCCCCGCTCGCCGCAACTAGAGAAAGCCCGCGCGCAGCAACGAAGACCCGGCGCAGCCAAAAATAAATAAAAGATTATTTTTACAAAAAGATTGGCTGTATTCCCCATGCTGTACAATATATCCTTGTAGCTTATTTTATACATGATATTTTGTACCTCTTACTCCCCTCCCCCATCTTGTCCCATCCCCTATCCCTCCCCACACTGGTAACCACTAGTTCTCTATATCTGTGAGTCTGTTTTTTGTTATATTTCCTAGTTTGTTGTATTTTTTAGATTTCCCACATATAAGTGGTATCATACAGTATTTGTCTTTCTCAGTCTGACTTATTTCACTTAGCATAACACCCTCCAAGTCCATCCATGTTGCTGCAAATGGCAAAATTTTATTCTTTTTTATGGCTGCATAGTATCCCATTGTGTGTATATATATATACCACATCTTCTTTATCCATTCTTTATCCTGCTGATGGACACTTGGGTTGCTTCCATATCTTGGCAATTGTAAATAATGCTGCTACAAACATTGGGGTGTATGTATCTTTTTGAATTGGTGTCTTCGTTTTCTTCAGATATATAGCCAGGAGTGAAATTGCTGGGTCATATGGTAGTTCTATTCTTAGTTTTCTGAAGAACCTCCATACTGTTTTCCACAGTGGCTGCACCAATTTACACTCCCGCCAACAGTGCACAAGAGCTCCCTTTTCTCCACGTCCTTGCCAGCGTTTGTTATTTCTTGTCTTTTCGATGATAGCCATTCTGACCGGTGTGAGGTGTTGTCTCATTGTGGTTTTGATTTGCATTTCTCTAATAATTAGCGATGTTGAGCATCTTTTCATGTGCCCGTTGGCCATCTGTATATCTTCTTTGGAAAAATGTCTGTTCAGGTCTTCTGCCCATTTTTTAATCAGGTTGTTTGTTTTTTGATGTGGAGTTGTATGAGCTGTTTATATGTTTTGGATATTAACTCCTTATGGGTTGTATCACTTGCAAATATTTTCTCCCATTCAGTAGGTTGTTTCGTTTTGTTGATGGTTTCCTTTGCTGTGCAAAAGCTTTTAAGCTTAATTAGGTCCCATTTGTTTGTTTTTCTTCTCAATTCCTTTGCTTTAGGAGATCGTCTAAAACAATGTTGCTGCAATTTATGTCAGAGAGTTCTGCCTGTGCTTTCTTCCAGGAGTTTTATGGTTTGGGGCTTACATTTAGGTCTTTAATCAGTTTGAGTTTCTTTTTTGTATGTGGTGTTAGAGAATGTTCTAATTTCATTCTTTTGCATGTAGCTGTCCAGTTTTCCCAGCACCACCTTTGTTTTGTCAATTTAGAAATTATAACATGTTGTTAGTCATGTCAGAGCTTATAGGTGGTGAAAAAACAGCCAAAAAGATGAAAGTTTGGTTTTTCTCCAGCATGGAAAGCTGAGAACATTCCCACTGGGTCCTTCATCTCCACTGGAACTCAGCGTTTCCTCTTTTCTCTGTGGTTGTCACCACTGCTGTGACCTCAGGGTCACGCATCCAGTCTTGGTGCCCAGAGTTATGAGCCAAGGGCACCTGCCTTGAGGACATCTCTCCAGGCCCAGCCCCCTGGCGCCACACCGCAGAACAGACCTCTTTCCCCCAGTTCACTCTCGAGGGGCTCCTACACGCACTGTACCACTGTCCCTGGCACTCTCTTGCTGGCAGCCGTCTGCTCCAGAACCTGTGGTGCCTGCCCCGTACCTAACACCTTCCTGCTCTACGAAGTGGGCCTGGACCTCATGCTGATTTCCAGACGTGAGGCACTCAAGTCTGGCCGCTTGCATGGTGCCCACAGGCCTGACCTCTGCCCCCGGCCTGTGTCCAGCTCTGCCCGATGCCAGCACTCGTCTTGGTCTCGAGCAGCTGGTGGGCTGGGTGCACCCCTGTGATGGGGGTGACGGGGACGTTCTGTTTTCCAAGCACTGTTTATTATTTGAAGCGGTTACAGTAAACTTAACTGCTTTTATAATGAGTCAGAGTTTTGGTATTCAACCAGAAAGAATGAAAAAGCTGAAGGAAAAGCAGCAGCTCTGCACCTGATCTCAAGTGACTGTGGCCTCACCAGCTTCGCCCTCCCAGTGCCCTCGGACGTTTCGTCCGCGCCGTGTGACGTGTCCCAGCCACGCGGTGCTCCTGTCACGTGCAGAGTCTGTGCTTTCATTCCGTCTTCCGGGAACTGGGCTCTGTGCATCGTGGCAGACGGAACCCCAGGCCTGGGAGGTGGTGGGACGGCACTGCTGATCCGATTGGAGGGGGGCCGGAAGGTGTGGTGGTGACCTGAGATAAACCTCATCGACACGGGGCCTTGGTACCGCATCCCCGTCACTGCATCCCCAGCTGGTCCGGGAGGAGCTGTCCCTGTGATTTAGCCAGGCGGTGTCTCGGAGTTAGATGCTTTTCCTTTTTGTGAATCGCCATGCCTCTCTTCCCAGGAAGTGTTAAGAGAGCCCGTTGGAAACTGGGGCTGCCTGCGGTGTGGTCAGTTGCTGAGTCGCTCCACAGGGTAGCTTAGTCGCCGTACAGAGGGGAAAGCAGGGGGTGTGGAAGCACCCCGCTGTCTTCAGGGCGCATATTCCAGGCGCCACGTCCCAGGTCAGTTACGCGGTGGAGGGGAGCTCAGGGTCCCCTTCATCGTCACCACTGCTCTGTTTTATAGATTATGTTAACCAATAGGTGTGTGAGAATCTCTTTGCAGCCACAGCTCAGTATGACTTTTGGAATCGTGTGCGTGTACCAGATGTTTTTACTGGGTGACGGGGAACCTAGGAGGATGTGCACAACTCAGTAGTCCCAGCAGATGTGGTGGCCTCGGCTGATGGGGTGGGTGGTTGGGATGCACAGGAGCTGCACCTGTCATCCTGCCGTGCCCTGTCGGCCTTGAGACAGGTCCCGGGTCCCGGTGACGCTCTTGGAGAGGACATGCACCACCGCTTTTTCTTACAAAGGAAGGGTTAAGCACATTGCTTTTCATAGTCTAGCATTCTAGAGATTCTCTCAAGTTCCACGTGATTATGTACTGAAAACTTGTGCCTTTCCAGTCCTGAGCATGGGAAACTTAGACCACAGATGTTTCCCAAGGAAAATTTTATTGGAAGTTTCAAACATCCTGTATTACTTATTTACCTTATTACCTCCCAAAAGTAAATAAAAA